AAAAGAATCCAGAGAAATGAAAAGCTATCTTTTAGCTTTGATCTCTGATAGCCCCTCAACTGACCCTTCTATTTATTCTACACTCTCCTCTTCTCTTTATATCACTAAGTTAGATCCTTCTAACTCTGAGGACTTGACAGACATTGATCTCTCAGAGTTTGATGAGTCACTGGCCCTTCTTACTAACTCTTTCAGGAGGTTTTCTAGAAAAAGCAACTTCCGCATATCTCCTTCCCTGACCATAACTGACAAGCCAAAGTCAAATCCCATTGACAAGGCTTTAGCTAACTGCTACAACTGTCAACGTAAAGGATATTTTGCTAGTGAATGCAGGTTGAAGAAAGTTGCAAAGCCATCTTCAAACCTCTCATCTTCCTTTAAACCATCTTGGAAAGTTCGATCCCAGAGCTGGTGAAAGAATCTTTTTTGGATATTCTTCTGTGTCTAAAGTCTTTGGAGTATTCAACAAAAGACGACAAACGATAGAAGAATTTATTCATGTCACATTTGGTGAATCTCAATCAGCTAACTCTAATCCCATCTCTGAAGATGATGAAGAGTTAGACAACTGGATGATATCTCACTATGGAGAACCTGAAGCTTCCCTCAGCAATCAACCGAACGTTGACCTCCCTGAAGCTGAAGATGATCCATTCATCATTCCAGAAGTCACTAATAACGAAGTTGAATCCTCTTCAGAGAATGTTGTTGTTCCCATTAGTCATATACCCCCTTCTATTTCAAATATTGATCCTTCAGTCGTTGAATCTCCTTAATTTACTGAACCTCTCTTAGTAAATAAATCTCTCATTGAGGCTCCTTTGGCAATTCAAGTTGTTACTGAAGACTCTCTTGTTGAAGCCTCATCTTCTGTACCTGAGCCCCTAAACTCAGAAGGTGATAATCTATATCATCTACCAACTCGGTGATGGACGAAAGACCATCCCATTGATCAAATTCTTGGTCATCCAAGTGCAGGTATTAGGAATCGCCATAGTCTAGGTAATATTTGTCTTTTTGTCAACTTTTTCTATTTAATTGAGCCCAAGAAAATCAATGAAGCTATCACTGACACAAGCTGGGTCACTGATATGCAAGAAGAACTCATTGAATTTGATAGGAAAAAAGTTCGATACCTTGTCACGCGTCCATCTGAAAAAATTGTGATAGGCACCACATGGGTTTGTCGCAATAAGTTGGATGAACAATGAATTGTAACCCGTAACAAGTCTCGTCTTGTTTCTCAATGATATAAACAAGAAGAATGAATTGACTACGATGAGACCTTCGCACCAGTGGCTAGACTCGAAGCTATTCGACTCTTCCTAGCCTGTGTTGCCCATAGGGACTTTAAAGTCTACCAAATGGATGTAAAAAGCATTTTTATTAATGGAAAACTTTAGGAGAAAGTTTATGTTGAATAACCTCCAAGGTTTCTTGATATCCAAATCATGTCTATCGATTGGATAAAGCTCTTTATGGGTTAAAACAGGCCCCTCGTGTCTGGTATGACAACCTTTCTTCATTTCTCATCTATAAGAAATTTATCCGTGGAAAGATTAACCAGACCCAATTTTTTAGGAAAGTCAAGGGTCGTATCATTCTAGTCCAAATTTATGTCGATGATATTATATTTGATTCCTCTAATCCCTCTTTGTGTTTTCGCTTATTTAAACGCATGAAGAAAGAATATCGGATGAGCATGAAGAGTGAACTAACTTACTTTCTAGGTCTTAAAATTAAGCAATTTGATAAAGGTATTTTTATCAATCAGAGTAAGTATGTCAGGTATATGTTTGAAGAAAATCGACTTAACCAATAGTTCATCTATGAAGACTCCAATGGCTCCTCCTCTCTCGTTGAACAAGGATCCAAATGGAAAGCCTATAAACGTTATTGTTTATAGATGAATGATCAGATCCTTGTTGTATATAGTAGCTAGCCAACCTGATATCATATATTCTACTTGTCTATGTGCAAGATATCAGTTTGAACACAAAGAATCCCATCTGATTGCTGTAAAACGCATATTCATATATCTAAAAGGGTACTCCTAATTTGGGCCTTTGGTATCCTAAAGACTCATGTTTTAACCTAATTGGTTATGTGGATAGTAATTTTGCAAGTTGTAAGATTGATAGGAAGAGCCCACTGGAGGCTGTCAGCTTCTAGGTGGAAAGTTGGTGAGTTGGACAAGTAAGAAGCAAAATTCAATGTCCACATCAACTGCTGAGGATGAATATGTTGCCGCAGGAAGGTGTTGTGCCCTAATCCTTTAGATGAAAAACAGCTCGGCTATTATGATCTTTAGCTCTTAAAAATATCTACTGTGATAGCACTAGTGCCATTGCATTTGCAAACAACCCTGTACTTCACTTTAAGACCAAACATATTGAGATCAGATATCATTTTATCAGAGATCATGTTATGAATGACAATATTGAACTTCACTTCGTACTCACTGAGTACCAATTAGCTGATTTGCTTACAAAGTCTCTTGATGAAACAAGGTTTAATATTTTAATCAGCGAACTTTGAATGCTGGACACTGAGTATTATTTCATTTAGCTCTAAGCAATACTCAGTGACACAAAGTGAAATGATTCAATGTTTCTTATTCTAACACTAAATTCTTGAGTAATGTATCTTTGTCTCTAAGGTATGTATACTTATCTTTTTTCTAAAAACTTAAAACCATCACTGAATACTTTTCTTATTCAGTGATCAAAATGTTTTAAAAGAGATGTTTCAGTATTTCCTTCTATCAATGAACTCTTGAGTAAATATATATCTGAATTATATCTACTTTTCTTTTTCTTAAAACAAAACTATCTTTGAATCTTTTCTTATTTGGTGATTAAAATGTTTTAAAGGTGAAATGATTCAGTGTTTCTTTGAAGCAGTTTTCAGTGATAACAAGCTCGTCTACACAAGTGTGAAATCTACTCAAGATTCAACGAACATTGAAGAAACCTCAGCGTTATTCTAGTATCAGCGATCAGATTAATCTTGTTGAACAAGATTAGTTTTTGTCTTGTCCTTCTGCACATAAAGAACAAACCCACCTTTCAAAGTAAAGTGTTGTACGGAGTCACTATAATGTCTCCAAACGTGCTTACCTACTTTATAAAGACATTGTTCATATATGGCTAAAGCCTGTATATCTGCAACAAAGGACAAGCTCATCTCTTGAAGCTTGTCATGTGTTTTGTACCTTCTAAATTGCATTTATACATTTGGTATAAATAGCTGAGAAACCCTCTCTTCTCAACAGTCTTCGTCTTCTCCATCTAAAGACTTCCACTCTAACAAGTGAAAAGCACAAGACCTTTTTAACCTATTTCTTTTAGGCAACTCTTTTCTTTATTTCTATAAGTAACTTGTGTGTATCTTTAATTGTTTAGATAAATTTTATATCTTATTTTTTCTGCAAACAATCTATAAAAATATGTATTAATCTTCTTATCAATATAAGTTTTTTAAAAGTTAAAGTTGTTGTGTTTGTATTCATCCCCCCCTACAAATTGCTACCTATAAACTCTTGTAGATCCAGCTAGGACCAATATTCTCTCTACTCCTCTAGTGAATCATCTCCCTCCGTCTTCGACTTCATCTATCTAACAGCCACATTGACCGTCGATGTCCACCATTGTCATGCCCTCTTCAATGTCACATTTCTCCTTTCAATCCATCTCTGAAGCTCACTCCAACACCACCGGCCCTTCCTTCGATCTTCCTCCATCAAAAATACCACATAGAAACACCACCTAAACCATATACGTGAAGGTTGAAGGCCGGTTGCAGGTGGATGTTCATTGAAGAAGTTGTGTGATGGTGCTTTCGTGGTGGGTGACCTCCCATATTCACCGTCGTTTGGTGTATATATATGTATGTGGTGAGAGAGAGAGAGAGAGAGAGAGGGGGGGGAGATGTATTCTGAGAGCTATTGAAGGTAAGATGGGTTTCGGTGGGAGTGAGTTGGGAGTTAATGTGTGTAATGTGGGTGAGAATGGACAGTCGATGGGTTTTGGGTATGTGTCGTGCCGTTGATCTTTTAGCCGGTGGAAGAAGAAATAGTAATGGGGTGGGGGTGAGGTAGGATGTTAGTATGATGGGTCTCTATGGGGGTGATATGGGAATTAATGTGTTTGATGTAGGTGAAAATGAAAGGTTGGTAGGTTTGAAGTATGGTGGAGTGCCGGCAGTTTTTCAGGCGGAGAAGAAGAACAGTGATGAGGTAGATTTAAGGTGAGGGTTTTGTGTTGAATGGGCTCAAGAAAAGAGAAAACTAATTTATATTAAAAAAAAAGTATATATTATATTATTAGAGAGAATTACATTTTTGGTCATTCAGGTAAAAGATAAAAAAAAAGGGTTAAAAGGACGAAAATAACCCTCATTTAACTGATTTGACGGAATCTTTTTGATTATGTTAAAGGGAAGGACTCAGAACATGTCTTTTTACATACCACAGGACCAGGAATGTAATAAACGCGTTTAAGAGACCTTAGTCACACAATCGGTAAACCACAAATACCATAAGTGTAATTTACTCTTAATTTAATAAACTTAAAGTATAAAAAATCAATACTTTGTTTATTTTTTGTATTTAATTATGGATTTGGTCCGTGTGGTTCGTGTGGTTTTTACGAAATTGATCCCTCGAGTAAATACAAAAAAGACAAAAATGCCCTCAAGGTTAACGAAAATACTGGATGGCCGTTAGAAAGAGGGACCCATTTGTTATAAAACGACATACGACAAATCTTAATCTATAATAGATGAAGTTCAGGGACCATTTTCGTAAAAACCACCAAACCACAAGGACCAAATCCATAATTAAGATAGAAAAGGATTCACGGTTTGCTTTGCTTTGCTTTGCTTTTCTTTTCTTGTTTGCAAGCCTATTAAATGCACCGCTTTCATAACTAGCACTAAATTTTCCTTCACTATCTACAGTAGTTTAATATTTACTATTTAATGATATAGTTTTCTTCAATCATATATAAATCAATATCACACCAACACTTTATTCATTCTACTCCAACTTCTGTATCACAAGTCACAGTGGCTTATTACATTCAGCCTATATTAAAACAGTCTTAAAACCATTCTTTGCATTCTTCATGCACTCATACCTTACATAAGATATACCACAGTCTGGTGCATCCAAGTTTGTGTACCTTCCATCCATATATATATCTTCATGGTAGCAGTGGCTGTTGTGCATGGTGGATCAGGTGGTGATCCAGACGAACCAATGAATAAGCCAGTGGGGCTTGGTGTGTCTTCGTATTCAGACGAGGTGGTCAGCAATAATGGAGATGGTGATGGTGAGAGTAAAGTTGGAGTTCAAGTTGATAACAAGTTGATGAGTAGTCTGCTTGAGACTGTGGATGAAGATCATGTCAAGTTCTTGAGGAGATTAAGAGAAAGAATTGACAGGTAAAAGTTTGTTAATTATTTTTCTCTGCAATTTATTCAATATTTAAATTATTTTTAAATAATGATTATTGAAACAGATAAAATCACTAAATCTTTAAAAACAAAGTATCAAGAAAGGGCTGTAGGGTTATTTTTATATAACACACACATATACATATATATATATATATATTATATATATATTATGATGAAGGGATTGAGAATATGAGTTAAAATGAGAAACATAAGAATAGATCTAGACACTTGATCACTTTTAATTTTACTTTCATCTTATAAATTGCTAGCTTGAGCTTTAACTGTGGTTACTTCTTCTTGTTGGAAGAGAGATCTGATAGTGTTCAATCCAAATATGTCTATCAATCTTCTCCACCCAATAACATATAGAAATGAAACGAAAGAAAACTCACTCATAACATAACTCCCCTCCATAACTAGTGACAGATCTATCACTGTCGTTCACGTGAGCAATAAACGTGCTAGAGATAAAAAGGCATTGTTTCTCACAGGAATTGCTCCGGTTCATCTTGATGCTAGTGTTGATCTTTGATTAAGATTGATTCATGGGTGAAGATCTCTTTCTCACCTTTCTCATCATAACTTTAATTCTCATTGGAACCCAACTCTGTAAGTCATTCTCTTAATTAAGTAACACGGAAAGAAACAAATATAATTAGAGGACGGGAACAAACAATTAAGGAAAGAGGGTGTTTGTTCATTTACATACTAATTCTGAAAAAAATCTATCTGAATAACGTCAAAATAAAAAAACAAACACATAAAATTATTACAAAATTGTCTGATCGAAAAAGATGTGTGTGTCATCATCAAAACTAAAGGAGAAAAATCAACCTCCTTTTAAGGTTTTGTATGTATATGTGTATGTATTATTGTTTTGATATTTATAATATTTAAGAGTCATGAACTAACTTATCAATTAACTCTTAATTTATCAGTTATTATTTATTTTATTAAGTGACAATTAGTTTTACAGTTAACAATTGATTAACTTATCGGTTAATAATTAACATATATCAAACATAATCCATGGAAATAAAAAATAAAAAAATAAGATCTCATTAAATAAGAGACATGTATCTAACATTCTAACCTCACCTTCTCAACCGCCTTTGTGATCGGCAGATATGATTTGTGAACGCATTTATTATGGATACGACTAGGTAGTTCTACACTCCCATAACCTATTATTGTTAAATATTTTGGAGCAAACTCTATTTTTTTGTCTTTTAGGTTTAGTAAAATATTTAAAAGTAAGATTTAGGGGTCGTTTACCAAATATTTATTTGGGTAAGTAGTTATCAAGTCATAATTAAACCACAAGAGTGGTGCCTGATTGGTTTGAACTTGTCTTCAAAGGTCAAAAGTATCAGGAGGTCATAGATTCAAATTCAAAAAGGAATAAAAATCCCCTTGTGATCACGGAGATTCAAATGCGGTGACTCCGGCTATCTGCAAAGCAGGTGGTCGTCCTGGGATTATTCAGCTCGCATAGCGAGTTAGATATCCAGGTTAATAAAAAAAAAGTCATATTATCTTACTTTTTTTTATTAACCTGGATATCCAACCCGCAATGCGAGCCGACCAAGTCATATTATCTTACTTGATGCATATGTCAAAGATCAAGAATTTTTACCTGGTAAGAGCAAAGGCAAGCATCAAGAGTCTTACCCGGTAAGTAAGAGCGACGACTCTTACATAGTTAGCGCTTACTGGGTAAATTTGTTGCATATGATACCCTTTCGGTGAACTAAAATCTTACCCGATAAGTAAGTGAGATTGTTGAATTTTGTTGGTAAACACTTACTCGGATAAGCATTTGATAAATAGTCCTTTAAACCTTTATTATCTAGAAATCATTTTTATAATTTTTATTTTATTTTAAAAATAGTACATGACCATTAACTCGGTTCAAATAAAGACAGTTTAATCATTCTACCTATTTTCTTAAATATCTTCTAGAAAAAATATAATATATAACTTACATATCTTCTCTTAAATGATATATTATAGTTTTTTTTAAATAATGACATTCTTTT